AGCCCATACAGTAGAGCTCCCAAGTCCTCCTTCCCGCCCCAGCACTGGCGGCATGCGTGTCTGCCTCACACCAGGCATGTGTGTAACTGCATGCACGTGGGGGTCTGCCACGCCAGGCAGGCTGGCTGTGAGCTCTGCCCTGTGTTCTCTCCCCTGCTTCTTCCCCAAACAAGTCTGATGCAAGGACAGAAACAGAAGAGGCCTTTTTACTGCATACTTGACAGTCACTTTCTAGAACTTAAGTCTGAATCTTGAGAAACCACAGGGAAAGATAGCTTTCTTCTCTCTTGACCAGCCCGCTGCAAGATCCTAGTTCCCTCAGGGCTCAGAGACTAGCCAGAGACAGGCAGAACATAGAGGCCTCCCTGCACACCAAACTCACACACTCGCTGGGTGGGTCCGACTCCCTGGAAAAGTGCCAGAAGAGACCATGTGCCCCTTTGGGTCCTGCACTGGGCTTGGCCCAGCATGGCACTGGAGATGCTGCAGAGAAGAAAGCCAGGCCTGTGGTCCACAAAGCAAGGCCCAAACAGAAAAGGGAGAAAGCTATACCCTGGACACCCCAGGATTCGGCAACCTGAATGTCACTCAAGGATCGGACCAGAGGCAGGAAGAAAACAGGAGGAGGCCGGGCTCAGGCAGGTGGATCACCCGAGGCCAAGAGTTTGAGACCAGCCTGGGCAACATGACAAGACCTCCTCTCTACAAAACAATTAAAAATTAGCATAGTGGTGCACGCCTGTGGTCGTAGCTACCAGGGAGGCTGAGGCAGGAGGATCACTTAAGCCCAGGAGGTTGAGGCTGCAGTGAGCCATGATCACACCACTGCACTCCAGCCTGGGTGACTGAGCAGGTTGAAGTTTTTTTGGAGACCTTGTCTCCAAAAAAAACAAAACAAATAAAAAAGAAAAGTAAGAAAGCAGAAGGGAATGACAGCAAACATTTGGCCCAGTGCCTGGCACACAGCAAATGCTCAATAAATACTTTCATCTAGGGTCCAGCATCCCTGGGCTGAATCTTAAGAAACCACAGGGAAAGACAGCTTTCTTCTCAAGGTGCTACTACAGCTAATGGGAAACAGAGCTGGTCGCAAACTCCCAGGTCCTCTCGTGCACCAGGAATTTTTTTGTTTTGTCTTGTTTTTGTTCTTGATATGGAGTCTCAGCTCTGACACCCAAGCTGGAGTGCAGTGGCAATCTCAGCTCACTGTAGCCCTGGCCTCCCAGGTTCAAGCGATTCTCCTGCCTCAGCCTCCTGAGTAGCTCAGATTCCAGGTGCCTGCCACCACACCTGGCTAATTTTTGTATTTTTAGTGGAGAGTTTCACCATGTTGGCCAGGCAGGTCTCCAACTCCTGACCTTAAGTGATCCACATGCCTCAGCTTCCCAAAGTGCTGGAATTACAGGTGTGAGCCACTGCGCCAGGCCTCCTGGGCAGGAATTTTTAACCATGGGGAAACCAAGGCTGAGATGGGTCCACAGGACACTCCTTGCAAGCAGGGCCCACAACTGGGTCATCCCAGAATCCCCATGCCTAACTTGTTGGCCCAGCAGACAGAATGCTGTTGCGGGCGGGCGGGCGAGGTACTACTACAGCTGAAATGAAACACAGCTGGGTCACAAACCCCCAGGTCTTCTCTCTTGACAGGCTCCTCCCCAGGAAACATCCCAGCTGGGCCAAAGGTCAACGAGGCAGAGCCCAGGGCTATAAAGGCTGGAGGAAACACGGAAAGACCAACCTGCTTCTTCTGGCTGAAGGCCAGGAGAGAGATGGAGGAACCTCTGCCTCTGCAAGTTGGAGGCAGCATCCAGAGAAAAAGCCTTCATCTTCTGCCTCTCCTCACACCCCCAGCCCCTGCAGCAGCCTCCCGAGAAGAGAGTAAAAAAAGTAAGCTGGAACTTTGGATGAGGCTGATAAAATGCAGAGAAAACAAGGACAAGCCTCTGATTTTTCTCCAACTCCCAACGCTCACTGAATTCTAGGCTACTGGAGTCACTGGGTTCCAAGGCTCGGCCAGACTTCTGTCTGGTGGGGCAGAGGCTCAGAATCAGGCCTGAAGTGGTCCAGCAACCGAGGGGTTAACTGCCCTGGCTTCTCTGAACCCCACCCCACTCCTCAATGGAGGGAGGAAGTGGCAGAGAACCAGGGCTTGTGTGAGCCCTTAAGAATTCGAAGAATGTCCCATTTCCCTTGTGGGGGTGGGAGGGGTTGGTGGGGGAAGAGGAACAGAAGTTAATAGAAGAGAAGGGGCAGCTGAAGGAGAGGCGGGGACAGAGCTGCAACCCTTCCTCTACCCCAGATAACCTGCCCAGTGCCCTCCTCCTTCCAGAAGGGACAACTTCATGTTGCTTCTTGAGCTTGAGATTTTTATCAGGAATCTTTTTTTCCCAGTACCTGGCACAGGTTGGTATATATTATAGCAGCAGGCAGGCAATAAATGACTGCTGAATGAGCATGCCCCTAAAAAGATGAAAGAGTGGTCTCAGCCAGGGAACGTGAGCAAATAAGGGAGCAGGTAAGGTGTGGGGGAAGGCTGGAGGTTTAAGCCCACAACCATTTTTTTTGAGACGGAGTCTAGCTCTGTTGCCCAGGCTGGAATACAGTGGCTCCATCTTGGCTCACTGCAACCTCTGCCTCCCAGGTTCAAGCAATTCTCCTGCCTCAGCCTCCTGAGTAGCTAGGATTACACGCACCTGCCACCATGCCCAGCTAATTTTGTATTTTTAGAAGAGACGGGGGTTTCACCTTGTTGGTCAGGATAATCTCCTGACCTCGTGGATCTGCCCACCTTGGTCTCCCAAAGTGCTGAGATTATGGGCCTGGGCCACGACACCCAGCCCCCAACCCTTTTTAGACAAGTGCCAATTTTTTCCTGGGTGAACTTTAGCTGCAAAGAGCCTCCTGACTGAGAATTTAAAAAAAAACTGAACCCAAGTCAGATCCTAAATAATGTGAACACCGAAATTACCATTACTTGAGTTGGTTGAAGTAAAGTTTAAAAATAAAGTAAAAAAAAAAAATTAAAATTAAAAAAATTAAATGGAATTAAGTCCAGGCAAGGTGGCTTATGCCTGTAATCCCAGCTCTTTGGAGGCTGAGGCGGGTGGATCACCTGAGGTCAGGAGTTTGAGACCAGCCTGATCCAAAATGGTGAAACCACCTCTCTACTGAAAATACAAAAATTAGGCAGGCAGGGTAGCACGAATCTGTAATCCCAACTACCCCAGCTACTCAGGAGGCTTAGGCTCAAGAATTGCTTGAAACCAGAAGGCGGAGATTGCAGTGACCCAAGATCACACTATTGCACTCCATCCTGGATGATGGAGTAACGCTCTGTCTCAAAAAAAAAAAAAAAAAAAAAAAAAAAAAAGGGCTGGGCACGGTGGTTAACACCTGTAATCACTTTGGGAGGCCAAGGCACGCAGATCACAAAGTCAGGAGACCATCTGGCCAACATGGTGAAACCTGTCTCTACCAAAATACAAAAATTAGCTGGGCATGGTGGCGCACCTGCAGTCCCAGCTACTCAGGAAGCTGAGGCAGGAGAATCCCTTGAACCAGGGAGTTGGAGGTTGCAGTGAGCCAAGATCGCGCCACTGCACTCCAGCCGAGGTGAAAGAGCCAGACTCCATCTCAAAAAAAAAAAAAAAAATGCAAATAAAAGAAAAAGAAATTACCATTACTTATAAGTGACTTGACCTTCCAAAGTGGCCACCTCACTGGGGGCAGCAGCTGTGAGGCCTAATACTGAGATTGTACTTGCTACTCGCAAGGTCAACTTGAAGATGGAAAGCTGCTATAGTGTCTGGCACTGCATGGGACGGGACAGGACAGGACAGGACGGGAGGGGAGGTGTTCCTTCAGGGTCTGGGATAGGGGACTCTACCTCTATACTCCTGCCCACCGTCGGCTGCTGCAGGTCCCAGTGCAGAAGAAACAGAGCCCAAGTTGTCTATATTCAAAAATACACAGGCCAGGTGTGGAGGCTCACGCCCATAATCCCAGCACTTTAGGAGGCCGAGATGGCGGATCACATGAAGTTGGGAGTTCAAGACCAACCTGACCAACATGGAGAAACCCTGTCTCTCCTAAAGATATAAAATTAGGCCAGGCGCGGTGGCTCAGCACTTTGGAAGGCCGAGGCAGGTGGATCACAAGGTCAGGAGTTCAAAACCAATCTGGCCAATATGGTGAAACCTCATCTCTACGAAAAATACAAAAATTAGCTGGGCATGGTGGTGAGTGCCTGTAGTCCCAGCTGCTAGGAAGGCTGAGGCAGGAGAATCACTGGAACCTGGGAGGTGGAGGTTGCAGTGAGCAGAGATCGCGCCACTGCACTCCAGGCTGGGCAACAAGAGTGAAATTCCGTCTCAAAAAAAAAAAAAAAAAAACAGTCTCCACACCCTCCCTCACCAGGCAGGGAAGAGATCTAACTGGGCCAGGCAACACCCTTCACGCACCCCATCCCTCTTCTCAAAAGATGAACACCAGAAGGGTTGGCACAAGGGTTCCAGAGATTTTTCTTCAAGGACACTGAGAAAGGAGCCCCCAAAGCCTAGGAAGTACCCAGGTGAGAGAAGGAAACTGTCAGTTTTAGAGAGAGAAATAAGGGAAGGCGAACAGAGGAACAAATCCCCCAACCCCAAACACAACAGGCAGGTTACTGATTCTCCAAAGACCATGCGAAAAGCCCCCTCTTTTGTAGCAGCGTGTAGGGGAAAGAAACATGCTTGCTTTACTGCCCAGAGACTGGGTCAGAGCTAGCCTCTCACTAGCTATGCCATCTTGAGAGTCTCTTCCCTTCCCTAAGCCCCAGGTTCCTCATCTGTACTTTCAATGCACTTTAAATGGGGATAAAAAGTGCTTGCTTCATCCAGCTGTTGTGAGGACAAATGGGGTGGAAGTGTCCTCCTGTGTCACCTTGTGTTTATCAGAAGGGAAGAAGAACCCCCTTGGGGAGGGGCCCCGGCGCCCCCAACCCCGCCCAGAACAGGACTCACGCGTTGCAGTAGGGCTTCTTCTCGTAGCCCTTGTAGTTCTTCATGTTCAGTGTCATCTTGCAGGTCTCGCAATGGAAGCATGCTTTATGCCAGAACTGGGGATGGAGACAGAATGAGGACACACATCAGATACCAGGACTTCTGGAAGCGGGGCTCGGGCCCTAGGAAGGGGCACTCAGGAGCTCCTGGGACTGTCCTGGGCCCATGACTGTGGGGAGAACATGGAATCACCACAGGTGAGCAGGGAGCATCTCAGGTCACAGGCGTTGGCACTCCCCTCCCCTGTCTCCTTCCTCATCCTCCACCAATGGCCCATTTGATCCCAGGAGGAAGAGAAGGGCAGGCATGAAGGACCAGCCCAGTTACAGTGGCGGTGGCAGCCCCCAGGTCACTCCACCCTCCCTAGGGAGCCCCTCTTGCCCACAGCTGGAGAGGCTTCATTGCTTATGCAAAGCTGCGCTGGGTTGCTAGGGAGCAGCGGCTGAACACGAAGGAGCAGCTCCTCTGGCCTCGTCAAGGCCCAGCCCCGACGCACCCAGGCCCAGAACCCAAAAGATCCCAGCTCCTGTCCCCGGGCCCAGCACACCCACCAGTCCCACGTGAGCCCCAGGTGCTGCTGCAGCTCTGATACCTCCCACTTCCTGTGGGACTCCCGGCCAGGAGTGGGCTGGGTGTCCCGGGCTCTGCCAGCACACCACATCCTTTCCACCCTTCCCTCATCCTCTCCCACCCCGGTCGGGGGGGGGCAGGAGAGCGCCCAGAGCGGGTCTGCTACTGAGGCGCTAAAGAGCTCCACTTCAGCTTCCTTTTAGATCCGCCATCTGCGCCTCACGTGGGGCAGCCACCAAAATGCAGATTTTCGTGGAAACCCTTACAGGAAAAACCATCACCCTTGAGGTTGAACCCTCGGATACGATAGAAAATATAAAGGCCAAGATCCAGGATAAGGAAGGAATTCCTCCTGATCAGCAAAGACTGATCTTTGCTGGCAAGCAACTGGAAGATGGACGTAATTTGTCTGACTACAACATTCAGAAGGAGTCTACTCCTCATCTTGTGTTGAGGCTTCGTGGTGGTGCTAAGAAAAGGAAGAAGTCTTACACCACTCCCAAGAAGAATAAGCACAAGAGAAAGAAGGTTACGCTGGCTGTCCTGAAATATTATAAGGTGGATGAGAATGGCAAAATCAGTCGCCTTCGTCGAGAGTGCCCTTCTGATGAATGTGATGCTGGAGTGTTTATGGCAGCCACTTTGACAGACATTATTGTGGCAAATGTTGTCTGACTTACTGCTTCAACAAACCAGAAAACAAGTAACTGAGTTAACAAAAGACATGAACTTAAAAAAAAAAAAAAAAAAAAAGCTCTACTTCAAAGCCTTGAAGGTGGACATCATGTAGATGTCGAAGCTCTACCCCCACTAACATGTATGACCTTGAGTGGGGCCCTGCACTTCCGGGGAGCCCACGTCCTGGCAATGTGGAATGGATGTAATAACAGTTGGCCCTCCTGGGATTGCCAGGACTCAGGAGAAATCACCTCAAAGCCCTCTGCACAGCACTTGGCACCTCTCAGCACTCAGATGTTAGGTGCTGGGCATAGCAGGTGTGACCCTCAGCAAAGGGGTCGGGGCTCACCAGGGAAGCTGTGTGTGATGGGAGCAGAGGGGCTTCACTGTGCCCAGCCACATCCCCAATCCTTTCATGTGGGTGAGAATGTGGGACACAAGGCCCATCCAGGGTGGCCATGGAGGGGAGAGGGTAGACATCGATGACAGAAAGAGAACTGATCTAGGCCAGGCCTGGTGGCCCAAGCCTGTATCCCAGCACTTTGAGAGACTGAGGCGGGCAGGTCACCTGAGGTCAGGAGTTCGAGACCAGCCTGACCAACATGGTAAAAACCTGTCTGTACTAAAAAAAAAAAAAAAAAAAATTAGCTGGCGATGGTGGCACATGCCTGTAGTCCCCGCTACTCAGGAGGCCGAGGCAGGAGAATCGCCTGAACCCAGGAGGCAGAGGTTGCAGAGATTTCACCACCGCAATCCAGCTTGGGTGATAGAGCAAGATCCTATCTCAAAGACAACAAACAGAACCAATCTAACAGGCTCTATGTGGAGGGCTCTCATGGAACCGCTGAGAAGCACTGATGCTTAGGCAAAGCCATGCCAACACCGTCTACATTCACCTCCACGGCCCAGGATGACGCCCTGAATCTGTACCAACCAGGTCCACTGCTAGGACCCCAGAACAATCCAGACTGCCCGAGTGACCTGGCTGGCCTGTCCCTGCCCCATTTCCTAGCAGTCAAGGGAGACAGTCCCCACTTGGAAAAGAGGCAGGCCCAGGGAAAATCTCAGCCACGGAGTTGGCTCTTGGCCATCTGTCAAGGAATTCCCCCAAGGTAATGCTTTTTAAAATGTGGTCTCCAAACCCCAGAGAGGTGCTTCTGGGAGGAGGGGACAGCAGAAAGAAGGCTGAGATTCTGGGATTCAATCTCCCCCACCACTGCCCACTTCAACCAGAGACCCCAGGTAACTTGAGGGAGAAATTGCCTTCTAAGGAAAAACCTAATGGTAGAATATTAAACAGAGTGCTAAGAGAACCACTCTAGGGGAAGACGACCAGCTGGAAGTCTGGAAGCAAAGAAGTGGCGGGTCTAAGCTTGGCCCCCTCCCCAACCTGGGCCTATCCCAGTGCCCCAGGCCCCCTGAACCCCCATGCAGCAACTTCCACACTCCCCCTGTGTGAGTAACTCCAACACACACAACCCACTGGGGACACTAAGACAGGGTGGTCCCTGCCCCCACAGGCCCCTGAAGTGACAGCCCACTCCCTCCCTCCACTGGGAGGCATTGGCAGGGTGCCCCAGCCTTGTCACCACCCAGTCTGCTGGCCTCTGCCTCCTCAGCTGCACATGCCCCTGCCCGGGCCCCCGCCTCCCCCCACCCCACAGGGGCCTGCCAGGAAAAACATTCTCCAGAATCCAGACCATGACCCACTTACACACACACACACACACACACACACACACACACAGGAGTAAAGGGCTACACATTGTCCTAGGACCAAGGACCTCCAAGGCTGCCTCCTGACTGATGTTGGGGAGACAGGGAGAGAGACCCCCTACTCCAGATGGCCAGGCCTCCACCTGGAGCCAAGCCCCTGGGAGAAGGAGGGCGGGGTGCACCGAGCAGGCAGGGGGCACAGGCCGACGCTGGACGCGGGGGTTCCACAAGACCCCTCCAGGCTGCCACTAGGAGGAAGTGGAGCCCCTCCACGAGGGAATGGCACCTATTTCCATCAGCAGCTCCTTCCCACCTCCCTCACACATCCCACGCTCTCAGCCAGGCACAGGAGCGTGAGGCAGAGGAGGGTGGTCGCCTGTCCCCCTGCAGGGGGCTCCGAGCAGAAAGAAACATGGAAACCAGTTACTATGAAGTACATGTGTCAACTGGAACTGCTGCCACTGCTCTCCAGGGGTCCAGAGAGGAGGCCACTCCACCCCTACTGCCTGGCACCTCTAGCAGCTTCGGGCGACTCCCCTCCCCTCTCTGGAGGAAGGCCCTAAGGTTCAAGAAAACCCAACAGCTCCTGCCACTGTGTCCTTTCTGGGGTAGGAAAATTGTGGGGAGGGGAGGCAGAAAATGGCCAGTCCTTCCACAACCGATGTGAGCCAAGCCTGGGCTGGGCATCAGGACCCCAAGATGAAAGAAGCCCTGTCTTGTGTCAGTGGGGTCTGGGGAAGGACACTGTCAGGGAAATACATCCAGAGGATCCCACAGTGACCCGTCTGCCTCTGCTCTGCCCCGTGGGCTCTAACCGGGAGCAAGAGCTCCCCTCTTTTAAAGGCCCCAGGCAAGATGATTTCAGAGAAGCATTCCTGGGAATCAGGACTCGGGAGGAAAGTGTACCTCGAGGCATGCACCTCTGCTCCTTCCTGCTGCCTGCCAAGTCCATGGTTCCCCTGTTCACAGAAACCAGACAGTCCCCAGCCCCTACCTCTGCTGCCCGTCAGAGGCCTCTCAGCCTGGATCCAAGGCTCCAAAGCAGAGTCACCCTTTACCTTCCCTGGCCTACCTGCAACGCACTCTACAGAAAGGTAAACAGGCTGGTGGGGGCAGAAGCTTGCTCGGATCCCCCTCACTTGGAGGGGGACAGGCTGTCCCTCCACGGCTCTGGGTTGGGGGGAAGGGGCAAGCTTTGTGTCACTGTGCCTGCAGCCTGGCACCTTGGCCTCTGAACCCAAGCTACCTGGGTGGCCATGACTCAGAGTTGGAGTATGAGACAGTCTCCTCCCTTTCTGTTGCCCAAAGTTAGTTTCTCCCTCCTGCAGGGGCAATGCCAGCCTCACCCTGGCTGGGTCACCAGCCTAGCTCAGTCAGCCACCTGAGCCGCTGGCTTAAAGACATAGATCTTTGCTGCACCTCCACAAATTCCAAGGGGGACAGGATAATTGCCAGTGGCCCCACACCTCCATACAAGACCCCAGGCCCAGAGCATCCCTCCAGATAGGGTCAGGAAGGAATAGGACCTACTTTTGGCACAAATGAGATGTAAATAAAATAAATATGTGTAAATACAAGTACTTTTTGCGAACACACTGGCAGAAGAGCTGAGCAGAAAGAACTGTGGATGTGAATTTCAGCTCTAAGAGAGGGAGATGAGCCACACTGTCTACCTGAACCTTCGTTTGTGGGGTGCATCGCTTACAGGAGTGAACACACCTATTTTGTGAGGCTGCTGTGAAGACTGAGCCCAGCATATTGCAATTAGTAGCTATTATGAATGGACGGTCACAGGATGATGGTGGGGTACTCTAAGCTTAGCAAAACGGCACCACAGCTGTGAGGACTTCACTCCCTTCAAGTGGGGAGGGAGCGCTCAGACAAGCAGAGGCACAGAGCCTGCCCTAATGTGGGATTCCAGGGGAACTGGCAAGATTCTTCACAACACAGCTCCCTAGATACAAAGCAGGTGCACAAAGTAGGTGTTCAATAAATATTTGTTGAATGAGCAAATGAGGTCACCCTGTTTCTCCCCCAGCTCTAATCCCAGAAGTCCTCTGGGGAAGCAAATCTCGACCTCCTTCCTCAAACACTGTCATCAGCAATACATATTTATCCAGTTTGCAGAGCACACTGGGTACTGCAGGTTGGGGGCAGGGTGGCCTTCAGAGGTGACAAGGTTTTTACCCACCTATGCCTTTGGGAGATAAGGCTCCGGGAGGAAAAAAGGCTGAAACCAAGGACAAAGACTGTGTTTTGGGCCACGTGGTGGGCTAAGTGCCTTGGGGGATTGTAGAGAAAAGGTGAATCTAATTTGACTGTTTGCAGTAAATGAGAGGCCTTTGGAAGTTGGTTAGCAACTAAGATTCCCCCTCCTTCCTGTTCTCAGCTCAGCATCCTCCAGGCACTGTCTCCCCATTCCTGGTGCTTATTCCGTTCCTTTTTTTTTTTTTTTTTTGAGACGAAGTTTTGCTCTTGTTGCCCAGGCTGTAGTGCAATGGCATGTTCTGGCTCACTGCAACCTCCGCCTCCCAGGTTCAAGCAATTCTCCTGCCTCAGCCTCCCGAATAGCTGGGATTACAGGTGTGTGCCACCATGCCTGGCTAATTTTGTATTTTCAGTAGAGAAAGGGTTTCTCCATGTTGGTCAGGCTGGTCTTGAACCTTCAACCTCAGGTGATCAGCCCACCTCAGCCTCCCAAAGTGCTGGGATTATAGGTGTAAGCCACTGCGCCCAGCTTTTTTTTTTTTTTTTTTTTTTTTTGAGATGGAGTTTTACTCTTGTTGCTCAGGCTGGAGTTCAATGGCACGATTTATCTCAGCTCACTGCAACCTCTGCCTCCCAGATTCAAGCAATTCTCCTTCCTAAGCCACCCAAGTAGCTGGGATTACAGGGATGTGCCATCACACCCGGCTAATTTTGTATTTTTGGTAGAGACAGGGTTTCACCATGTTGATCAGGCTGGTCTCCTGACCTCCGTGATCCGCCCACCTCAGCCTCCCAAAGTGCTGGAATTACAGGTGTGAGCCACCCTGCCCGGCCTCCTGTTGCCTATTCTTACTGCCTGGAGCAGTGGGGAGGAATAGGTCTGATAGCTGGATATTTCAGGCCTCCTGCTCAGTACAGGGGGCAAGGTCTCTCCGGGGCCACTTCCTGTACAGAGAGTTCTAAAAAGAGGGAGGAATCGCCAACCCCCACTTCCCTGGGCAACCCCCACTTGAACATCCTCTTCCAGGTAGGGTAAGAGAACTGGGGAGGGCATACTGCAGCATCCCTGCCTGCTCCCCTCCCCTCTAACACACAGCACTTAAGGTCTTTACCAGGGGAGTGGTGTCGAGCTGAACAAAGCATCCCAGAAAGGTAGGGAGGGCATAGTCTATACAACACCCTCTTTAGCACTCAGGCACATTAGTGCACTGCCCCGCCTTGAAGGAAATGACATCACCATACCCATCTGAGATGGTGAACACTGAGGCCTGGAGCCATTCATAAAACTGATGGGAGCAGACCTGGAACAAGGACCCAGCCTCCCAACTCCTGGCAATCCTGCATTCATGTACTGCTTTTTCCTTATACAGGTGAAGTGCCCACTGCCTCTTCCCAATTGATGGCTGTGGAGAAGAAGGGGACCACAGGGAACTCAAGATACAGAGGACGAAATCTGCCACCAGGGAAGGGCCAAGTCCCCGTGTGCAAGGACAGGTAGGTTCTCAAGGGGAGACAGCATCTGATAGCTCTAAGCCCAAGTCCTGCGCAGCACTGGCTGGCATGGTCATGGGCAGATTAGCACCTTTCCTTGTGCCCACAACATTGCCCCTCCTCTCCTGCCCAGTCAAGCCCAGGACCAGGGACAGTGACACAGCAGCGGCCCCCAGATGCCCACACGCCCCAAGAGCAAGCTGGAATGTGTTTCAGAACCTCTAGCCCCACCTCCTCACCCTGACTCAGAGGCCAAAGGTCTGAGGAAGCTCACACCCAAGGGGGAGGGGAGAGACAAGGTGTCCAATGAACAAACCCAGCTCCAGATCAGCAATGAACTTGGTCCCAGAGCTCTGCACCCCTTTTCCATCCAGTGCCCATCCCTGCACCCCTTTTCCATCCAGTCCCCCCAGCCTTCCCAGTTCAGATGGAAAGGATATCTGGACTTGGAGCCAGCTTTGGGTGGTGGATGAAAGGCACGGTGTGGAAGGGGACAAAATCACACAGCCCTCCCCCCAGACTGGGGAGGAGATGCAGAGGGGCAGGTTTTCCCTTAGGAGCTTAGGAGAAGACAGGATCCTACCTCAAACTGTACCGGAAACACCCAGTTCTACTCTCCCACCCCCCTCCAAAAGTCTAATGGCAACCAGATGAACAAGTCCAGCATGGGGGAGACAGGGCCCCCAGGGGACAGTATCTCCACAAGGCCACCTTCCCCTCCCCCCATACCTCCCCCTTCCCTCCGTTTCCCCAGAACTCAGCCAACCCCACCCTCCACAGGAGAAACCTGCTTTGAAAAGTTAGCTCTTTGTTCTACCACACGGTCTCCTGGCTCTGAGCACAATTTCAGGAGATCTCGGCGAAGAACCCCCTCACCCACCCACTCTACTCCAGCGCCCGACCCCGCCCGGCTCAGGCAGGGCGGCCCAGCACCGGGAGTTAGCTTTTAATTGGAAGTGGGGGTTGGGAAGCTATGGAGGTCTGCGAGTCCTTTAACCACTGAATCACCTAGGGGGCTGCAGGTCGTTCTAAAGCTGGGGGTCTTGAGGGGGGGTGGGGCTCGGGTCCTTACCCGAAACCCCCCGCATCAGATGCAACACTAGCAGGCTGATAGCCCCCGCCCCCCAGGCCAGGAAGCCAGGCCATTCCCCGCCGGAGCGGACGGTTTCGCAGGGCCACCCCAGCCTCTGCCCCGCCCCCTCCACCAGCCCCAGGCGCTTCCGCCTACTTGGCGCTCCGCGCCGAGCGGCGAGGGAGCGGTCGTCTCTTCTCACTCGCCAGGCCCTAGGGGGCGGGACTGCACCCCTAACCTACCCCCACACAGCCCGGGGCCTGGCTTCCTTGCTTCTCTCCCGTCCTCCAAACCCTGGGGCATAGGGCCCACCCGTCTCCAGCAGCGGCTGCCCGCTAAGCGGGGACTCCGCGCCTCGCCCCAGATCTCCGGGTTTCCAGACTGGGATGTGTCCCCACACCCCATGACACCGCCAGCCAGTCCTCCCTCCATTCTCCTGGGATCCCGGGAATAAGGCGGCAAAGACGCGGCCCTTCCCTCCTCCCTGGATTGGGAGCACTGCCCGGGATTGCAAAAACGCGTCTCCCGGTCCCGGGCTCACCTTATCCAGACAGTTCACCTTCTCCGTGGGATACACGATCTTGCCGCACCGGGCGCAGTTGGGGTTCATGGCTCCGGGAGAGGCTGGGGCGGGAATGCCCGAGCTCGCGCGCGTCCTCTTCCCGGAGGCGAGCTGGCGGGAGGCGGCTGCGGCTGCAACTACACAGGCGGGAGCGACGGCGGCTGGAGCTGGGGAACTGGCCTCCGCCTCCGCCCTCCTTCCCCTAATAAACACAGCGGGGAGGAGGGGCTGCACCGGGGCGGGCACGCGCCTCGGGCGCGGGCAAGGGCGCGCGCAGCGAGGCGCGCTCCCTGGGTGACGTGGGGCTGCGCGAGGGCGGGTTCCGGGGAGGTCCGCGGGGCTCGGGGTGCTGGCGCCCCAGGGCTCCCAGGCGGACTGCGCCCAGCGCCCAGGGGCCTTCCAGAGCCTGGGACGGCGCAGAGCCGGGCAGGCTGCACATCTGGGGCGCAGGGGCTGCGGGAGGCGGGCTAACCCCTCAAGCCCGTCGAGGGTGGAGTTGCAGCCCTCCTGAACGCCCGAGCTGATTCACCACCTTCAGGGACTTTCCTCTCTACCCGTCGATACCTGGCGTAAATCTGGGACCGAACGGGGACCCCTGCCCTGTCCCTCATAGTCCCCCTTCTGCCCCACACCCTTTCCCACATTTGTGGGGCGGAACCCGTCCCTCCCTCTTGGACTCCACTCAGCTGGGCCCGGGCTGTGCTTCCCTCCTCGAGCCCCTGCAGTGCACCTTCCCGAGGTTCCCCCGGATGCGGGCACTCTCTGCGTTCAGCTTAATCCCTTTTCTCCTGCATTCCTTTCTCCTTATGTTACTATCTCCTCAGTGTAGCAACTGCAACAATGCTTAGCACTCAAATGAACCGCCTCCAGACGCCGCAACGGCACGGGGGTATAGCTCAGTGGTAGAGCATTTGACTGCAGATCAAGAGGTCCCTGGTTCAAATCCGGGTGCCCCCTAGATGGCCTTTACAGCTAATCTTAATTCTTGATTCACATTTTAACGTTGAATCCTAGACTAAAAGAAAAATGAAAAAAGTCTCTTCCTCATTTATCAAGCTTCGCAGGAAGCTTTCGGTTTTACTTTGTGCTCAGCGGGAGGAGGAGGAGGGCTTGGTATATATAAAAGCCGCGCGACCCCATTACTCGCTCCAGGGGTGTAGGGATTTCTGCGGCCAGGAACGCCAGCCTCAGATGGGTCAGACAGTTCCAGGAGCCAGGTATGAGGGACAGGATGTTTCCAATGGGGGTAGGGAGACAGGAGAACGCATAACGTTGGCTTTCCTTTTGGGGGTGGAGGGTAGGTCAAGTGAGGAAAACCCAGACACAGCTCTTCTCCAACTTCAAGTTTCTTTCTTTCTTTTTTTTTTTTGAGACGGAGTTTCGCTCTTGTTACCCAGGCTGGAGTGCAATGGCCCGATCTCGGCTCACCTCAACCTCCGCCTTCTGGGTTCAGACAATTCTCCTGCCTCAGCCTCCTGAGTAGCTGGGATTACAGGCACCCCCCACCATGCCCAGCTAATTTTTTGTATTTTTAGTAGAGACGGGGTTTCATCATGTTGACCAGGATGGTCTCGATCGTTTGACCTCGTGATCCACCAGCCTCGGCCTCCCAGTGCTGGGATTACAGGCGTGAGCCACTGCGCCCGGCGCCAACTTCAACTTTCTATGTTAATAGTGACATGGATGTGCTGTGTTCATCCTTGACTATTAATGTACAAAAGTAAAGTTATATCCCAATGCAAACGGAGATAAACTTACGCGGTGTTTCTCAAACTTGAGCGTGCATCACAATTACCTGCAGAGCTTATTAAAACACTCCTAGTTTCTGATTCTGTAAGGGGTCCCCGATAATTTGCATTTCTACCAAGTTCCCAGGTGCCGCTGGTGCTGCTGTGTGGGGACCACATTTTAAGAACCACTGAAGTAAGAATAAAAGGCCATGGGTTTTCATAACCTAAAGATGGGGACAAGCATCTGCTGGCTGCGTGCCTAACAGTGTCACTGTAGGGCAGGAGGAAAATGCTAAGTGTGACTGGAGACAAGGGCATCCCCCTCGACTAGATTTTGCCCAAAAAAAGGAAAAATAAAGGAGAGAGGAAGAGGCGTGCTGCCTGGGTCAAAGAGCAGCTGCGATATTTTAAACCGGAATGTGGTTGTGTCATCCCTCAGACCCCAGGAACCGTGCATTTTTTTCTCAAGGCTCGCAGGACTGTGAGCTGCATCGCGAGGCTGGACAGAGAGACCACAAATTAATAGAGCTGCGGTTCCGTGCAAAACCCAGGAGGAACCGGTTTTACCTCTTCTTTAGGCCTCGAACTTTCCATCTACATCTTAACCAGCCAAAGCCCTGCCTTCGAGCTAAAGAAGTAAGAGGGAAAAACCTCGCTGTTTAACACTTCTACTTTTTGTCTTGTTTTCTGAGTCGTAGTCTCTTGCTCTGTCACCTAGGCTGGGGCGATCTCCGCTCACTGCAACCTCCACCTCCTGGGTCAAGCGATTCTCCTGCCTCAGCCTCCCGAGTAGCTGAGATTACATGCACCTGCCGCTGCCCGGCCAATTTTTTTAGTAGAGACGGGGTTTCACCATATTAGCCACGGTGGTCTCGAACTCCTGACCTTGTGATCTGCCCGCCTCGGCCCTAAGAGCTGGGATTACAGGCATAAGCCACCGCGCCTGGCCACCTTCTACCTTCTAGAGGTGCCCTGTCCAGTTCGCGAGTATATGAAGACCTCTGAATTTGGATTCCTTCTCCTAGTCTTCATAGTCAAGTACGAACTAGCCCCGCCCACGACGCGACATTTTTTTTCACCCCAAAACAAATTATAATTAACATTAAACCAGTGGGCCTCGGAGATGGGAATCAATGCGCGCCTTTCTTCTACAACTGGGAGTTCGGGAGCGCTTCTCACCACTTGGGGTATGCGGGCTCAGCTCCACTTCAGAGCAGCCTCTGGTTGCTGCTGCTCTCTCCCGCTCGGGTACGGGAATCCTTTGAAGGTGAAAATTATGTAGGTGCAAGAGACAAAGACCACCTCCCGTGGGCTTTGTATTCAGTACTCGCTAACTCAGGTTATTCCTAAATGGCTGTGAAAAAGCATAAGGGAAACCGAGGGGGCACCCGGATTTGAACCGGGGACCTCTTGATCTGCAGTCAAATGCTCTACCACTGAGCTATACCCCCTCTGCTGATAGTTACATAGCAAATTCCTTTTACATCCATCAATCCCAAAATTTTCATATTTAATTCGTTCAAGATCAGTGTCTTTGTTACATGATACTGAAATTAGCAGTGAAGAAGGAGAAATTAAAAGGCTAGGCAAAGATGTGGTGGCAGTTTGGGAAAACATGTGAATTTAGGTGCCAATCTGCTTTTTCTAGGTTCAGGTATTTTGTTTGTTTGTTTGTTTGTTTGTTTCATTTTATGTAGATAGCCGCGCATGGTGGGTGAAGGAGGCCGTCTTTCTATGTTGCCCAGACTGCTCTGCTCTGGAACTCCTGGACTCAAGCAATGTTCCCTCCTTGGCCTCCCAGTGCTAGGCTCGATTTTTTTTTTTTTTCCCCATAAATACGGTGCTTTTTTTTTTTTTTTTTTTTTTTTTTTTTATAAATACAGTGCAGCTAGGCTCAATTCTTTATCCACAATCCCATTCATCTCTGCTCGCTAACAAGTTAGAGAGCAACCTCCTGCAAAAGTGAATAGAGGGCCGGCGCGGTGACTCAGGCCTGTAATCCCAGCACTTTGGGAGGCCGAGGAGGGTTGATCACCTGACCTCAGGAGTTTGAGAATAGCCTAGCCAACATGGTGAAACCCTTCTCCACTAAAAACTACAAAGATTCGCCAGGCATGGTGGTGGGCGCCTGTAATCAGAGCTACTCGAGAGGTTGAAACCGAAAAATTGCTTGAACCCAGAGACGGAGGTTCCAGTGAGCCGACTCGGTGCCACTGCACTCCAGGCTGAGCGACAAAATGAGACTCTCTCTCAAAAAAAGAAAAAAGAGGGGCCGGGCGCGGTGGCTTAAGCCTGTAATCCTAGCACTTTGGGGGGCTGAGACGGGCAGATCACCTGAGGTCTGGAGTTCAACACCAGCCGAACCAACATGAGGAAACCCCATCTCAAAAAAGAAAGAAAGAGGCGGGGCGCGGTGGCTCACGCCTATAATCCCAGCACTTTGGGAGGCCGAGGCCGGTGGATCACAAGCTCAATAGATCAAGACCATTCTGGTCAACAAGGTGAAACCCCATCTCTACTAAAAACACAAAAATTAGCTGGGCATGGTGGTGCGTGCCTGTAGTCCCAGCTATTCTGGAGGCTGAGGCAGGAGAATTGCTTGAACCCAGAAGGCGGAGGGAAGGAAAAGAAAAAGGCTGGGCAAGGTGGCTCAAGCCTGTAATTCTAGCACTTTGGGAAGCCAAGGCGGGTGAATCACTTGAGGTCAGGAGTTCAAAACTTGGCCATTGGTCATCATGGTGAAACCCCGACTCTACTAAAAATACGAAACACGATCTCAAAAAAAAAAAAATAGAGAAGCTTTTCCCTTGGTCTCTCCAAAAATATGAACATCAGCTTAAGGCACACCTCCACCAGCGGGGCATGGTGGCTCATGCCTGTAATCCTAGGGTGGGCAGATCACTTGAGGTCAGGAGTTTGAAACCAGTTTGGCCATCATGGTGAAACCTTGTCTCTACTAAATAATACAAACGGCATGGTGGTGCGCACCTGAATGCCAGCTACTTGGGAGGCTGAGGCAGGGGAATTGCTTGAACCTGGGAGGCAGAAGTTGCAGCGAGCTAAGATCGTTCCACCGCACTCTATCTTGGGAAAAAAAGGAAGAAAAGGAAAGAAAGAAAGAAAAGAAAAAATCCCATCTCTACTAAAAATACAAAAAATTAGCATGGCATGGTATGGGTGCCTGTAATCCTAGCTACTAGGGATTCTGAGGCAGGAGAATCACTTGAACCCAGGAGGTGCAGGTCACAGTGAGCTGAGGTTGCACCATTGCACTCCTGCCTGGGCAACAAGAGTGAAACTCGGTTTAAAATTAAAAAGAAAGAAAGCACACACCTCCACCAAGAGGCCTCCCTGGCTATATACCCTAGTGATCCCCCTCTATGTAGAGCAAGTTCTCTCTAGGTAAAGGACATAGGGTACTGTACTTTTTTTTTTTTTTTTTTTTTTTTTTGAGAAGGAGTTTCGCTCTTGTTACCCAGACTGGAGTGCAATGGCACGATCTCGGCTCACCACAACCTCCGCCTCCTGGGTTCAGGCAATTCTCCTGCCTCAGCCTCCTGAGTAGCTGGGATTACAGGCATGCGCCACCATGCCCAGCTAATTTTTTGTATTTTTAGTAGAGACGGGGTTTCACAATGTTGACCAGGATGGTCTCGATCTCTTGACCTCATGATCCACCCACCTCGGCCTCCCAAAGTGCTGGGATTACAGGCTTGAGCCACCACGCCCGGCCTTGTACTTTTTTGTTTCGTTTTGTTTTAGATGGAGTCTTGCTCTGTAGCCAGGCTGGAGTGCAATGGCATGATCTCGGCTCATTGCAACCTCCGCCTCCTGGGTTCCAGCAATTCTCCCGCCTCAGCCTCCTAAGTAGCTGAGATTACAGGCGCCTACCATAACGACCGCCTAATTTTTGTATTTTTAGTAGAGACGGGGTTTCACCATGTTGGCCAGGCTGGTCTCGAACTCCTGACCTCAGGTGATCCATCGCGCCCAGCATAGGG